GTGTATGTGTGTGTGTGTGTGTGATTGTTTTAATCCTTCCCTGTTGTTATTTGATGCTGACAATGTTCCCTCTTCAACATTGAGAGCCCTTCACATGAGCTATCAGTCAGTCCCCATGGCCCCAGTGGCCTTTGGAGGCTCCTGTACTTTCTTGTACTATAAGGGATGCCAGGCTCTTCTATACTTTCTGCCCCAGGTGTAGATTCAGCCTTCCTTCTGGAGCTCTGGTTTCCATTGCAGATGGTTTCCTGGTATCACTGCCTGCAGCTGTGCTCTCCTTCACCAACAGGCACGCAGGCCTGGTCTTTCTAGTAGGAAATGCTTTTCAAGGTTAATCGATATGATTAGAATGAAGTTGCCCTGTGCAGGCCTGGAAGGGCCTGTTGGGCTTGGTGAGCGGCTTTGTGTTCCTTGTACATCCCGATCCTGGTTAACACATTTGCCTCCTTGTGTTCTCTCTCTATTTGGTCTTTTTGGGTGGCTCTGCTTGCAAACCCAAGGTGTTGGCTGATGCTACCACTCTGTACCTTCAAGCCTCCCAACCTTCAGCCTCTTGGTGCTCATCAGCGGGGACGCCATGACTCTCAGTTCTGCTTTGCCTCCCATAAACTCAATGGCAAGGCTTTTTCTCACGGTAAGAGCTATTTCTTTTAACCATAGTCTGTTATTCCCTAGTCAGTGGAGAATCTGCCTGCTTTAACATGCCTTTTTTAAAAGATTGAATGTTGATCTGGGACAGAAAGTATAAGAAGTCCTTATTGTACAAAAGAGCACAGGAGCCTCTAAAGATCATGTGGCCATGGTGACAGGACATATAAGCTAACGTGAAGGATTCCCAATGGTGGACTCAATGTTTTAACATGGCTCTTGGGCTCAAGGGTTTATAAAAAATGTTAGTGGCTCAGAGGAGGGTCTGCAATCTTTACCTAAACCTCAAGAGCAGGTTCTTAGGCTTCATTCCTTGTGAATCATCTTCTACCCACTGCAGGAACACAGTGGTGCTGGAGAGTGGAGGGAGTGGAGGGAGTGCCCATGAGGCGATTTACCTGGGGTTGCCCTTCTGCAATGGCCCTGGGTGTGTCCACCTGAGATGTCTTAGAAGGTATTGTGTGTTGGCCAGGAGAGTGAAACAGCAAAGAGATCCTTTGGTGGCAACTGAAGAACGGTAGCACTGTAGTCACCAGGGACCAGCAGGATGTCAGCTTCTTGGACCTAACCAGCCTTCATGGATGGTCAGTCACTGTCACTCAAATTGGGAAATTTGAGGAGGTTTAATAAAGGGACGGTTTATAAAGGTGTGGGCCAGAGGTAGGGAAACCACGAGGGAAACCTTCGTACTTGGGGTAGACGGGGCCTGAGAAATAAGGGGAAAGTGTGATTACTTGAAATGGGGGATGGGAGGAGGGA